ATAGAAAAAACATTCTTAATTGGAAAAAAAAAAAAATGTATTTGTTTGCATTTTTTTTTTCTATTGGGGAGATTTCCCTTCGCTTCCCATAACAGAGACGCAGTGGGAAGGGAGAGGAACGCTCCAAAGTCAGGGGTTATCCTCTCTTTACAGGCCTAAGGCCCCGTTCACATGGAGCGGTTCGCAAATAGCGGCTAAATCCGCTCCAAAAAGGGTCCTGCTGTAGCGACACACGACCCGCGACAGCAGGACCCTTTGCCCCATTGAGAAGCATTGGAGAGCGATATCGCGCGGTAAATTGCCGCGATTGCTCAATGTGAACGGGGCCTAACTAGAACAAATTGCCCCATCTATACCTGGTGACCGCTCACTTCTTGTCCTGGAGACACAATAGGAAGTGAGGAAATCCTTCCAATGTGAGGAGGTTATCCTCTCTTTACAGTCTTAACTAGAACAAGTTGCCCCTATCTAGTCCTGGTGACAAATGTAGGACTTCCCATTGCTTTCTGTTTCTATGGAAACCTTTAGGGCAGGTTCACACCATTTTCCGGACCAGATCTAAAACTCAGTGCATTGCGTTTTGCCGCGATTTTACCGCAATTGTGGCCGTTCCGGAGCTTTTTAATTTTTTTAAGCTTAAATTGCATTCCAGTGTGTTTGTATGTGTTTTTGATGCGTTCCAGTGCATTCCAATCCAGACAAAATGAGACCTGCAGTATTTGGTCTGGAACGGACTGCAGTGGTGTGAACAGAGGCCAGAAATAGCATAGGGATACATTAGGATGCATTTGGGGTCTGGAAATAATCTGGTCTGGAGATGATCTGGATGTGGTGTGAATGGGCCCTCACTATAGGAGACAGCAGTGATGTGGAGGTCAGCAGGATGCATCCTTGGGGGAACCATGCGATTGGCGGCCGGAGAGTGCATGTTACGTGGTGTCATTCACTCATGCACTTGTAGTTCCACATTACCATCAGCAGTGTGTTTTAACGGCCCAGTAGAAAACTTTTATTTCAATTTTAGTTTTGCATAGCATAAGGGAGGGTTTATTTTCTTAGTCCTATTGGGAAGATTTCTCCACTTCCTATCCAATAGCCAGGAAGTCGGAGCGAATCCTTCCAAAGTTGGTGCAATCCATGCTGGTCAGCAGGGTCACCAGAACTAGTGTCCCCATTGGAACATTTCCCATCTATTCCTGTTATGATGACCCTTTCAATGATAAGTGACAGGGCAGATGGAGAGGGTGAATCTCCCTAACGGGGACACAGACCATTACAAATGCCTCGCCACTCTATCCAATGCACGTTAACGCCATGCACGTTGACATGTGACCTAATAATGCCATGCACCAGAGCGTGAAGGTGTAAATGGGCCCTAAATCAGATTTGAGTGATTTGGGTTTACATATCTTTTAAAACTGAATTCCGTTTGCGTGTGTCGCGGGTGTTCTTCCTTCTATGCTGCCCGTGTGAATGAGCCCCACGAAGGTAAGACATGGAAATGGTGCTCTATTATATGACCAGCCAGTGGGGGTCAGTGTTCTGTGTGGTCAAATTCACCTGCTCACATTCCCAGGCACATTCACTCTGGGACTCCTTGCCTTCCCATCCAGCTGTGTCCTCTCACCTGCCCTTTGTGTTTGTGTGTGAGGAGCGGACGGGCCCGTGTGGGTACGTGGCAGGTGTGAGGTGTAAAGTTTCAGGTACATATTATGCATCAGGGAGGGGTCGGGGAAACGCGGTATGTGTTTTTGTGTGCATTTGGGGATGTGATCTGCTGCTTACTGTATACATGACTCAGTACGGATTAAGCCGTGTAAGGATCCGGCACTGATAACTCTGCATGAGTGGACAAAGCTGACCTAACCTCTGAAGGGCAGGCAGGAATAAGCGATTGGGCTAAAATCCTTTCTAGCATACACACTAAGAGCCCATTCACACCAGCGCGGTTGCGGATCAGCGCGGTTACCGCACTGATTTGAAAAGGGAGGTTTTGGGAGTTTTTATTTGCGTTTCAGCACTGATACGCAAATAAAAACGCCCAAAAGCGTGCTGATCAGCACAGTGCCATTGAAAGCTGTATGGAAACCGCAATGATCAGCACGGCAAAAATAGTGCAGGGAGCAGTTCAGGCGGGGGGCGGTTAGGATCGCACTGAGCCGTGCGGACGCATGAATGGTCCCCATAGCAATGTATGGGATCGTTCATGTTGGCGGATCCACGCAGCCGAACCGCCCCTGTGTGAACGTTGGATTACCTGACCTCCAGCAGAATCTTCACTTCAGAGTCATATGCCTGTGCTGTCCATTGTCTGAAGTGAAGATCCTGCTGGAGGCCATTGTTCCCCAGCAGAGCAATGATCCAAATTGGCGCCTGCTGGAGATATATCCATCCAGGGTGCTTTTTTAAGTATGGCAGCACAATCTCTTTAATACCATTCCTTCCCACTACTTACCTTCTGTCTACCATCTCCCACCTCCTGGTTAGCTGACCCGGGCAGAGTAATAACAAAAAAAATTATACCATCCAAGCACCAGTACTGTTACTCAGTATCTAAAATCATGTTCCCCACTTGTGGTGGGGATTGTTTTTTGGCTCTATACCGGTCCACAATATTCAAAAGGAACCATTAAAAGCCAATCATGCTACCACCTAAATCTAGTGCCCATTGACTGCAATAGAATTTGTCAAATTTTGGTAAATTTCCAATTTTGCTCTTCCTTAGTTGCTTGCTTTTATCTGCCCCCTTATTGCCAGTCTAAACCAAGAGGTAGGCCAAGACCCTGGTCCTTCCAGTACAATAACATTGTAAATTATGTTATCATGCTGATGCAAGCGCCAAGATATTGTAGCAAAAATTGCATGTACTGAAACCAGGCCGTGCTATAATGCATTGATACAGTTCATCAAAAGGATAGAACCAGCACGGAACCAGTGCAGATGAAGAAGGCGTTTTCACATACCTTCAATATTCAAGGGAAGCAGTCAATGAACTCCTTGCCTTTAAATTTCACTCACTCACAGTGCTAAATATGCAACCTCCAGGGCAATTGTCATTATCACTCCACATATTCAAGGTAATGTATGCTCTGCATGTCCCCTACAGAGAAAATTCTTGTAAATCAAAAATAGAATGAAGAAGCCACTTTTGGATAATTGAAAAACCACATGGAGGCAGTTGGCCTGGGGGATAGAACGTGGAATAAACCTTCTCCATGTGAGCCATCTTCTACCCCATTTCAGTATTTTATGTCATTCCACATGTCTTTGATATTATGTGATTGGCAAGGAACAATTCCAGTCTATGGTGTCCTCCATGGCATGAACTGCTTGGTGTATCTATATTTGAATATTGGCTCTGGGGTGTGACTGGTCCTCTTCACCATTATATAGATAAGCAGCCTGAAGAAGGGTCCGCTCGCTTGGTTTAAAGGGAGCTTTGCATGCATTGACCTGTATTAACTATGCTGTAAATTGGCTTAAAGAGGTACTCCAGAAATTGTAAAAAATTAACCCTTGCAGTTGGGCTACCCACGCACTGCAAGGGTTAACTGCTTGTTTTCCCCCAAGGGGGCGGAATACAGAAGATATATTAACCCGATCCTCAGTCCTGTTGCAGTCAGTGTTCCTCTTTCCCCCTCTGGTCTGGCTGTCTATTAGTCCAAAACAAGCAAGCACTTAACCCTTGCAGTGCAGGGGTAGCCCCACTTCAAGGGTTAATTTCACTATTTATGGAGTTCCTCTTTAAAGCCCAACTCCAAGCTATATAAATGGCTCTTGTAGCAATAATCAAAGTTGCCCCAGTACTATTGATTTCACCACAAGTCGTCCTCAGTCTTCTGGGTTGATACCATGCATCACTCAGTTCTGAAGGCGGAGGACATAATGTGAATGCAGGCATCGTGGGTCCATCCATTGTGTGGGTGTCATCACAAAACACCCTATCTATTCAAGGTGTAATGGAGCAGAGGGAGGAGCTGATGTAATCATGTCAGCGCCACTCTCCATTATTGAAGACCATCCAGCCCATAGAAGAGGCGAAGAGCTCCCTGTGTGCCAAATAAGTATAAAATGTATAGTATGTAAGTTTATAAACAACAGCAAAACCTACAGCTTGGGGGACCTCCAGGAGGAAGGTGTTTGGGGGGCTGGGGGTCGGCTGATCTTGGATATAGGCTTTAATGTGTTGGGTAGACACAGCCTTTTAACCTGGGAGGTTGTCTGGCACGGGAAATTCTGCATGACTAGATGATCCTTCATTGCAATAAAGGTAAAGTCAATTGTTAAAGTAGCTTTAGGGCCCATTTAAACTATTGTGTTGCAGTAACAATGTGCTTTACATGTGTTGATGCAGTGTATGTCGCATATGTTGCCAGGCATGGTACATGCACCTTTTTCTGTGCGTTAAGCAACCCCCATTGGAATAAATGGGATTCCGTAATCCAACAGATTTTAACATTGCGTAACGTGGCAGCATAATGTGCAATGGTCGGAATGGGCCCCTTACTTGTTTTAGCGGCTTCCCAAGTCTATCAATAGAGCCTGTTCTTTGCCCATGCAGAGTGTCTAAGTATGACTGTGCAGTCAAGCAGGCACCAGATTTAGACAATGTAAGAGACCTGGTCAGACACGCCCCCTCTCTTCCTCTGCAGGGTTCCTGTAGGGTGTGGCTGTCCCTCAGCTCTGCTTGTACAGAGCACTGCAGTGTGAAGACGGGAAGCAGGATTTTAAATGCCACAAAAAGCTATTTTAAAGATCTTCAGATCAGTCGCACATTATAATCCAGAGGACTATGAAGATAAAAAGCGTGTAAGACTTCAGAGTGGACAATCTCGCTTGGCACAGGCAGTCCCATAGGTAAGTATTTCCTCTCTGCTTTTGCAGGGACAGCTTTGTGGCCAGCTTTATTTTCATGCGAGGGTTACTTTAAGCATCTTGGAATGACGTCAAACCTTCTGTGGCATGATGCTAATGCCACGTGACTTCTGCTTGTCTCACAGGTGATGCTGCTGGGAGATTCTGGTGTTGGAAAGACTTGTTTTCTCATCCAGTTCAAAGATGGCGCCTTTCTATCCGGCACCTTCCTGGCCACCGTGGGCATCGATTTTCGGGTGAGAGTTCCCTGTCGGCTCTTCTGCCCTTCGGCATCTCTCTAGAATTTCAGCTCTTACCTTTCCTCGTGCCTCGGGCACCTCTTGCCTCCACCAGTCCTGTGTTGTCTTTTATTTTTAACACTGCAGCTGTCACTTTTTTAATGCTTTCAACTCTTAGAAAAGCCTCCACTACGGCTTATCTGTCCATCTCCTTTTATTTCGATGCTTCCTGATTCTCTGCTTGTCATTCTTATTTAAACTCAAGTTCTGCCTTTCATATCTCTTGTCTGTATTAAAGGAGTCCCAGCATATCCTCTCCTGTTATAACATCAGCATTGTAATAGGAATACATAGTAGAGTTGTTTCTGATAATACAATCAAAGCTTACTGGAAAAAATCCCTTTTATGTAGTGAGTACTGCCTTCCGTCTGCCCATCACTTCCAACAACTTCCTGTATACCCAGTGTGCTTTGTGTCTCTTTCCCTGCTGCTTGATGTGATGGAATCTCCATTTCTCAAGACTACATATCCCATAATGCATTGCTTCCAGCAAGCAATGTTAATGGTACATTGTTCAGACTAGGGATGCACTGATACAATTTTTTCTGTATGGAGTACGAGTACTGATACTTTGCTTTTGGTACTCGCCGATACAGAGTACCGGTGCTTCCGCTGGCATGGAGCCGGCTTCCTGGGCAATCAGGAAGCCGGGCGTTGGGTAATGGCATGCCACCCGGCTTCCTGATTGCCCGGGAAGCCAGCTCCATGGTGTTAGGCTGACTTGATTGTGATTGGCTGGGAAGCTGGTTTTCTGGGCAATCTGTATGAAGTCTGATGACCCACCTCCCAGCTTCCTGATTGGCCAGGAAGCCGGGTCCATGGTGATTGGCTGAAAAGCCGTCTTCCTGGTCAATCAGCATCGAGTCGGCTGTTCAGCCGGCTTGATGCTGAATGGCCAGGAAGCCGGCTTCCCAGGCAATCAGCATGGGGCCAGGTTCCCGGCCAATCGGGAAGCCGTGAGGCGGGTCATTACTCGCCGCCCACCACGGGAAGCAGTCTCCATGTTCTCCTACGGCAGCGCCTGTCAGAGGCAATCTTCCTCTGACAGGAAGTTCTGGTATTGGGGAAGGTATCGGAGTATTTGGGCGAGTACGAGTACTTGCCCAAATACTCGGTATCTGCACCGATACTTGTATCAGTGCATCTCTAATTCAGACATCTAGTTGTAACTCAGAAGGCCCATGGAAGTACATATTCACAGGGCTGAGTGAAATGGTGTCAGTGTATTGAGGAAGTCCATCCTATGGCCATCTTCAATAAGTAAGTTTACAATCTTCTAGATGGCTCTGGTTATTAGGAGCGGCATAGAACTTATGGAAATTCAATATTGAAAAGCATATTTATTTTTCGTGTTTGAGCATACATACCCTTTAAGATGGTGATATATCGGCCAATACCAGCAAGACTGCGACCAAGGCATGAATGAAGAGGTCGAAGCCCAAGCTTGACAAGACTTCTTTACTCTCCTCAAGTCTATCAAAAGCAACAAATCAGTTTTGTCCGGAGTCAGGCTTAAATGACTTTGGAGTGATGATGGTGCTCATTCTTGCACGTGTAGATTATCCAGCATGATGAAATATTGACCTACTTACAGCAGCCATTCCTTTTCTCAATGGAAAGAGAAAAGTTGCCACACTGCTTGTACATCGCTTCTGTACATTGGTCGGTTTAAAAAATAAATAAATTGTGTTCTGTCTTTAAGTGGAACTCTGGCTTTTAGTATTAAAAATAACACTGCCGGTACCTTTTGAAAAAAGAAAGAAGCTTCTACTGTAATCATCTCCTCTACAGAGCTGTCCCTTGCAGACTCGCTGTTGAGCTGTCAGCGACGCACCTCCTGTGGGTAGGTCATCATGCAGCCGGGGCTTGCAGTGTTTCTAGACTGAGCGTTATTACTTGAGCACCCCTCTGTTCAGGAGGAAGGACTGGCCATTGCTGCCACAATGAAAGAAGGACTCATTGGACCGGCCTGAACACTGCAGGATGAAAGGTATTTACACGTCGAAGGGGGGTTCAGGGAGTGCGGGAGGGCAGTGGGTGGTTGGAAAGCTGGAGTAGTATTAAACTTTTATCTATAATGAATCCAGATCAAACAAATACACATTGCCTAGCAACACATTTCTTTACATTTTTACCAAGGCACTTAGTCGTCAAGGTTCAGAACTGGCTCCAACTCTCAGCTCAGCTTCCCTGAACTTCCTGTCCAGTACAACGTCACAAGGGACAGCAGCTGTCCATCTAATAGCTTTGAGGAGGGAAGTAGTGGGAGTAGGGAGCGGTGGAGTGAATTGCCTTGCTGTACCTATGTGTTTGTAGAGACACACACAGCTTACTAGCACACACGCACACACAAGGGTGGCTCCATAGGACCCTGAAAGTGAACTAAAACAGGAAGTCAGAACCAGTGCTCAGGGGATCAGCTGATTCTGCAGGAAACTAAAACTTTAGACCTTAAGGAGCAGCATCCACTGTAAGTGATTTCATCAGCATTCGAACCCTTTTGACTTTAATTTTAACTTTTTACACCTTATTTTTTTCAGAAGTAAAATGAGAGGTCAACCAAAAACAACATTGTGATTTTTAGATGTGTGTGAGCGTCTTTTTTTGAGCCGTTGGGACAGTTCGCCTCGCCTCATTTTCAGCACTGCAAGGCGCCTTCCCGAATTCACAATGCCTTGTTTAGTAGATCAGAGCCCTAATCAATGATCCGTGGAAGTACAATCATCCACAGAGAACGGACCTTACATGTACTTCCCGGCTCATGGACTCTTTATTTAAACCAGATACATGCAAACCGCGTCATCACTAGAAGCGCAGACGCTGTTTAATCATGAGGCCTCAGTGCAT